ACTTTCATTTATCAAAAGTGTTTATAGAAACAAATACAATATTAGAAAAATCTCTTTATTATAAGTGTACAACTACATGTGATAATCCGCGAAACAGTTCTTGCACAGTGGTATATCGCATTCTTGGCACATTGTTTTTGTTTGTTTTGTATTATCGGAGCACCTCTTGCAACGCCTCCTTGTTCCTCCTTCGTACGGCAAATGCAAGGACACGTTCTTCAGGGTCTGCCTCTTTTTCGATAGGCGTCCTTTCTTCGACGATCGTCTAACCGAAGTTGTTTTGATGCCTTCTGATACCAATTCTTCAGCTAAATCAACGAGGAAGCTTTTGAATGGAATTTTCTTTTTCTTCAACTGGCAGTATATTATCCAAGAATTTACAGCGGCCATCATCATGAGCCTATAAAACATCTTTTTCCACCATTTTGTGGATTTACGATCTAATTCATAAAGACCTGACATCTGATCAGCTAAATCAACACCTCCCATGATTTCTCTGTAAAATGCAATCATAACTGGACATTGAACTGCAACTTTATTCCCGTCTTTTTGAGTCCTATTTACTGTAGTTAGATCATTTGAGTGACAGTTACTCAAAACACATACATCCTTTGTATCTCGCCACTTGACATACATAAATCCATCGGACGTACATTTGAACACGCATTGACTTTTTTCTAATTTTGTGTCGATCTTCGGTAAATTTCGTCGATTTGTCATACAAGTGCCAAGTGAGGGATATTTTATAGTTTGCAATAAGTTAACTGTCGTGAAAAAGCGATCGAAACAAAGAGTTACATCATCTTGCTGGATTGTAGAAGCGAGCGACTTCACCACTCTCTCTCTCCTAATGTACCAATTTTTTGCTCAATATCTCGTCCAGCATAGATGTTGAAATCATATGTGTAGCCTGATTGTGCATCGCATCGCAGCCACATTTTTATGCCACGTTTCACCGGTTTCATCGGCATGTACTGTTTCAGAGACGATCGTCCCTTGAATTTTGTCATGCTTTCGTCAATACTCTGAAAGCTGCTATCTTCTCTGTACTTTTGGAATGTTGATTTCAGACATTCCACAACATCCTGAATGTAATAAGTCTTTTCGCAATTATCAGGTTTTTTAGGAGGAGCGAAATATAATTTTGAACTTATGTTTGAATCTGTCACGAGAAATAGCAGATTGTATTGACTGATTTCCCAGTGAGGGACTTTTAGACCAATAGTCACTAATACAGGGTACACGATTATATGACATGATAAATGTACAACCTAGGAGTATCTGAATTTCTCCAAAATTTGTTTCTTCAATCCGGGCACGTTTAGATACTGCATCTGTGTATATTCTCATACGCTCTTTTGTACAATGCGCAATATGTATAAAAAGAGATCGAGGAACAAGTTTTATAAAAATTTGAAGAGGTGAGAAATCTGCTTTTATATCAGGCGAAATAGTGCAAGTAAGGTCATGAGAAATACTTTTTAGAGGTTCGAAGGAATCGTCAGGATCAGCCCAAAGAATAAAGGTATTTGAAACCCCATTTTCGTCCTGTTTCATTTCCTCTTTCCTGTTCATCGTTCAAATTCGAAGGATTCGTGACTTTCTTCCTAACTTCCGTTGATTCGTCTTCAGAAGTATCCTCAACGTATCTATCTGGTTTATATTCATCACTGCTACTGGCAAAAATTTCTGGTTTTGAGTCTGAAGCAACTTCGGACAAATCTTCTGCAAGCATTTGAATCTCTTTTTGTGAGAGTTTTCCTCGCGTCATTTCTTCACAACCTTACCTGAAATAGGACGCACGGTAAATATGTGTACCACTTCAGAAGACTACTGGTACACATGGGTACCGATGCCGGTACCTGTGCAGATTTTTATAAAAATGATAATAAATTGATATGCACTTACCAACGTATTGATCAGCAATTTGTATTTTGTCGAAACTATTATTATCTCGCCAAAGTAGTGCTAACATTCACGGCAAGGGTTAAAAAGATAGCAGTGCACTGCGAACAGTCTCAGCTATCATTCGAAACTAAAGACAAAACACGTGCTTTCAGGTTATATAGAACGTTTACATGAATATTTACGGCGTAGTAAACACTACCGAACGGACTGGTACACAATAAAACCACCAATTATGCAAAACAGAAAAGTTAGTCTTTTTCAAAGCACTGATGGTACATATGAGTACCAATCGGCTCGAAAGGGTTAAAATTGCATGTTGGATGGGATAATTATAGGAAAATATTTTTGGGATAATTTATAGAGGAATTTCATTTGAAAAATCAAAGCAATAATGTATTAAAAACAATATTGACTTTTTTACGTCTTTATTATGACAATGTCTTTATTAATCTACATTTTACAAATTATCAAGGCTGGAAAAATAAATATGTTTCTGTAGATATGCGTTAAAAAAAATTAAATATCCTATACTTATATTTAGGTCAAACATCGCTGTGATATTTCTTTCTTAATGTTTTTGTTTGAGTACATATAAAACTTTCTAATATCGAAGAGAATTTCTGATCATTTTATTACATAATATTATTAGTAATAATTTTTTCAGAATAATTTTGCATGAGCAGGTAAAACACCTTTGCAAGAAAGGATCCTATAACGTAATAGTGATTCTACAAGTGCAAAATATAATATGTGTAAAGGTACATTCAACGCATTATTTGTATGCTTAGTCCAGTTATAATGAGAGTTAAGAACCTTATTCTTAGCCTATGTTAGATCCACACTTGAATATGCATCTGTTGTTTGGTCTCCGCATTATTCGGTGCATATCCAAAGACTGGAAGCTGTTCAAAATCGGTTTCTGAGAATCTGCGCTCACAGAATGGGATACGCACAGGGTACTTACGACTACGAAACGATTGTAAGACTTTTAAACCTTGAATTTTATTTATAAGAAGATGTATTAATGACCTATTGTTTTTTCATAAAGTGTTATCAGGTAAAATAAATTGTAAGGATATATTATCGTCGTTGCCATTTCGTGTACCAGCTAGGTTAACACGAAATGTAGTTTTGTTTGAGCTTCCACAACATAGAACAAACTACGGTTATTTTAACCCATTATCTAGAATTATGCGCCTTTGTAATAATTATAACTGTGACATAATAGGAACCTGTTACAATAAATTTAAGAGACAACTCTGTTTGTCACGCCCTGGAATCAGTTAGAACTGTGGTTTATTTCAATTGTTTTTTTTTTTTATATAATTTAAATTTGTTTTAATTTAAATTTATTTTTAATTTTACCTTTCAATTGTTTTTTTTTTGTTATTTTATTTAGGTTAAGTTGATACTTTATTATTTTATAAACGTACATATATTGTAAAAGGGTGTATGCCCGTTTAAATAAATAAATAAATAAATTTGTACTCTATGGTATTTGATCATTTATATGAAACTACTGAACGTTACCTTTTATTGTTTCTATAGGAAGAGGTCATCTTTTTGTAACTGTATAAGGGTACAACATAAGTTTTATCAAAGGTTTGTAAGTTTTTATTATTAAAGCATTCGAAAATTTTTATAAGATCTGTTTCTATTCATAATTTTAATCAATTCCAGATCTCTGCATTTTACAGAATAACTGTGTCGCCTGAAAAACCTATAATATTTTCATCTGTATTTAAACGACAAATTATTTAAAATAAAATTAAACAGTATAGAACCTAAACACAGTATCTTGAGGCATGCGATATGCTACTTATTTCCTTACTTGAGATATTATTAATTCTATTTGTGTTCGTTTTTGTAAATAACTTTGTAATAAATTATATAGGATGCATCACATTCATACAATAAACTATTGTACGAAAAAAACAGCAAATGATATAGTTAGTAAAGAATTTATTTACTTATATACTTCAGCCGGACCACTTTTATTGTTGGAACAGCTGTTGGTAGAAGTCTTATTCTTGGTTTTGAGGTTCGATCAAAACAATCTGCTTTAAAATGGCGTGAACACAAAAAAATTAAGATATTTGTTTGTTGCATGAACCCAAGCCATAATTTTGTTTTTTGAGAATCTTTAGGAAATCTAAAAATTGTCTACCTGGGATTAATTTATATAATTTGTAAATCTAGAATATCTAAGAAATCTGAAAATTGTTCACTTGCAATCAATTTATAAATCTAAATTAAACAATAATTTATTTATTTTAACAACTACATAAATATCCTAATATTGCATAAAAGAATTGTTTAAATGAAAGTATGTATACCCTATAAACCATGAGACTACGCCTATGAGCACAGTTGATCGCAAACGCACTTACCATGTTTGTTTACAAATTTAAAACATTAAAAATTTTAAATATCTTTAATGTGGTTGAAAATTGAGAGAACAAAATACTTGCTTATGAAATGTAGATTATTCCTTTCTACTTTTAGCTGTGCTGCTATATCCACAAAACGAACAACTGACCATATTGTCTTGTTTGTCTTTTAACGCGGAAATTTTAAAATTAACAGTAATACTAAATAAATACTAAAACACTAAACACTTTTTTAAAATGTCCACAAAACATAGGCTTGATAAAAGTTCAAATTAACACATAAAGAATCCAAATTATTAACAAATTTTAATCACTAAAAATATAAACCAATTTTAGAAACCATTTATCATATGATTATAAGTCATCCATAGTACAACATAGTTACCACTTCCGCCAAATTGATTAGATTAACGCGGACATGGCATGCTCCTTTCTGACTATATATGTTCTAAGCTACCGAGGTATATTCTCCATGTTAAAATTAAATTTGTTCGGTTATCAGAAAAGTGAAGGTTATAAAAAAAATTGATTAAAATTTATTTAATTGAAAATAGCCATGAACACTTTTCGAATGTCAAGTTACCATCATAAGAGTGTTAATAAATCAATAATTTCGTAAAAAATGTCTCATCTCTTCTATTAGTATTTACATGTTTTTTTTTTTAATTAGATTCAAACTCATAATTGAAAATTTATTTTCAGAAGTCAAGGAGGAAGCTAAAAGTACTGTTGGTGTTCAAACCAGCGAAACGGAAGAGTTTTTAAAGCCTATTTCGAATATTTTGATAAGACCCGATATTGTATCACATTCGTATATTGTTAACGAAGATTTGCTGTACGAGGAATCCGAAATACCCTGCGGCGAGGAAGAACCGGTTGAAGAAAATTTCTATATAGTGGAAAGCAACGAATGTTTGCCTCCTGAACCTGATCAGCCTTATAGTCCTGAAAGTCAGTTGTGGTAAAAAATTCAAATGTATATTCAGTTTTATGTAATAAAAAAATCGATGTAAAAATCTGATAGAAAATTTTCTTCAATTACACATTTTACCGTATTAATAACGAATCTTTATCTCTTGTTTTTAAATGATCAAAATGCTTTGTGCTAAAAGTTTTTACATTCTATTTATTAAAAATGGTACCTTACGTTATTTTCTGTAATTTACAGTAATATAAACAATTTAAATTTTCGGAAAGTACAAGATTTGTTCTAAAATATTTTTACATTCCAGTTAAACAAAAGGCGCCCAAGCATCAACTGTAGTCGATAACGGTCGCGTCAGTTACATAAGAATTGACACTATTAAACATTCTCTTTTCGAATTCCAGAAAGTATAAAACTTTGTTCTAAAAGATTTCTACATTCCAGATAAAATAAGTTTCTGCTTTCTCCCGATGGAAGCATACAAAATTGATTTTTATCATATAATGGAGAATCGCTGACATTTTCGAAAGCATAAATCCCTGTTTCATTTCAATACCTAAATGTAACTAAGAACATAAATCCGCTGAGTATATCTGCATGTTATACCAGCAGAAATTGGAATTGTCTAGAGAAACTAGAAAAGAATTGCTAACTTCGCAAAACTAGGGTTTAAAATTTTATTTCGGAAATCTAAATGTAAAGACATTATTCATAAGAGCGTTTTGCTCGAATACGTCCACAGTAAAGGGGGTATAAGCCATTATTCTTTGAGTTAAGTATCTCAAAAAGTAAATTTCTACGACCAACAATGATTTTTTCTGAAATGAAAAACATTTCACGCTATATTTTTGACAAAATTCATATCATTAGTTTTGACAATTCATATTACAATTTTCGGTTATAATTTTTGATTTTGTATTATTTTTTTTTTTAGTTTTGGCTAACAATGTGGATGAGATAATAGACAGAATATTTTTTTTAATAATCGGAATCATCATATCACTCTTTCACGCAGTTGATATTTATAGAATATAATTTACTTAGTTAAAAATCTGTAATAATTATATGAAGTACAGAGATACGATCTATACCTCTAATTGAGAGTAGGTAAAATGGTAGAATGGGCATGTTTAGTGTAAACGAATTTAACGAATCTAAGGATATTAACTGTTTAAGCACAAAAAAACTTTTTTACTAGCAACAAATACTTTAAATAATAAATAATGTGTGTAGAGGCATCATAACTTCTATTCGGTGGTTTATTGTGGCTCCATCTGTGAGCAAGGAGTACAACTACATGTCATTTTCTAATGTAGAATGTTTGAGATCAAATAAATCCTAGACACGCAGTGGTATTCAAAAAAAACACATGGCAGTGTGGGCACTGAACACAATTAGGTTAATAATTTGTAATCTGCCAAAAAAGCAAATTAAAAAAGTAAGTCTTTTCGTAGTTTTGCAAATATTTTTGTATTTTTTAGATGTATCCTAAAAAGTTTATTTACTAAACAAGTTGACCCACAGAAACCTCATGTGTGTGCAAGTGTACAGTAAATAGTATGGGCAAGTGTGTAGTATACTATTTAAATAAAATAAGTAACGTGTTTTTGTTATATTTTAGGAAACCATGGAACGTTGTTACAAAAAAAAATCTAACAAACGTTCAACCTACGATGAGGCTACCCTTCAGAGACCATTGGTAGAAATACATAGGGAAATAATTACCCAATACGGTGCTCATAATAAATACGGTATTCCCCAGATGACACTTAGTTACCACAGGCGAGGAATTAGAGGCAAGAAAAGTTCATCTATAGGGAGATTCACGGAAATTCCCATCAATAAAGAAGCTAAACTCGCCGAATGTTTAATCACAATGGAAAAATGGGGGTGGGCGTTAACACGACCTTACATTTTTAATGCTGTTGAGCAATATGTCACTAGAAATAACCTGAAAACACCATTTAAGAATGGGCGACCAGGAGAAGATTGGTTTTTGTAGTTTTCCAGAAGACATAATTTGTCAATAAAAAACCTCAGTCGGTGAAATACCCAAGAAAAAAGTATTTGGATCCTTTTATTATAAATAACTATTTTGACCTATTGAAGAAACAGACGAATTTAGCTTACACGATAAACCTCGTCAAATTTGGAATCTAGATAAAACCAGCTATTCTCTGGATCCATCTAAGACTAAAGTGGCGGAGGAGCACCTTCATCGCAAACAACTGCTGGATCTGGAAGGAAAAATACCACTGTACTGATGGCTGTTAGCGCTGATGGATTTAAAGCTCCCCCATTGATCGTAATTAAAGCAAAAAACTTGTAGGATGACTGGATTGCTCCTTCTACAGACGAATAGCCAGGGACTTCCTATGCCACGACTGCTACTGGATGGATGGAATCTTAACTGTTCTTAAATTACTTCTAAAAAACTTTATTAGAAGTATTTGGACCTGATCGGCTGTCTTACTTACATAGGACGGTCACGTGTCTCACGTCGATGACAGACTAATACAAGTTGCCCACGATAATAGGTTAACAATCCTTAAACTTCCGCCCCATTCATCTCACATTTTACAGCCCCTAGATTTAATCGTTTTCAAGTCGGTAGAAGTAAAGTGTCATCCAACACTTGTCCAATGGCAGAGACATAATGAGGGATGAAAGTTACCCAAAAAGAAGTTTGGTTCATTAATAGGACAAATTTGGAAAGAAACAGAACCTGAGATAATTTGCAACGGTTTTAGAAAAGGTGGCATTTACCCTTTTAACTCTAACGTAGTTACCAAAGAAAAATATAATCCTGCAGCGTATAAGAGATAAAAGGACCAACAGCGTAATCCTGATCAGGTATTAAATAACAATCAAAGTCACTCGCTACAGCAAGGTCTCTAAATCTCTAGAAAAACCTGTAGACTTCTAAGAATTACTGTTGGCTACGGTTAAATAATCAATGAAAGGGGTAATTACAGGAATTTGTTTATCGAGTTCTTCTGCTAAACAGACAAATGAGCCACCAGTAGGAGTCCGTACAACAGCTATTCACGGCAGAAGTGCAAACATCATTCAAAAGGTTTAAATCCTCAAAGGGTTTCTTTTGAAGAGAAAATTGATATAATACCAAACACAAAATTCAGATACTTTGTTTTATTCGGTCGAACGATATATTAAGGCTTAAGCAACTTGGTAGAATCTGGCAAAGATATCATTACTGCCAAAAGAGGCATAATTAGGGAAAACTGTCACATTTTAAGCTAAGCTATCTCAAACTTCGACTACCAAGGTGAGTCAAGTAGAGAAGTAGGCACAAAGACCACAAAAAGCACAAAAGGCAACACTCCTTTTGAAGATCGAGTAGTAGAAAATATTGTCAAAACTAAAGGGGTAACCGTACCACTCCAACGATTTCAGTAGGGAGAACCGGCTTTCCACAGGCACTCACTCAAATGGAGCAACAAAAAGCAGCCGAAGAATCGATAATAAAGGCCTCATAGGAGGGCCACTAAAGCGGTTTACCAATTCCACGTACAGGTCAGGGTTAACTGAGGTGATCCCCATGCTTAAGCCCTAGGAGGGTGCAAGCTCAAGGCTCGAAAGGGCATCGACATCCCAAAACCAAGGATATGTACACTTTATATGAAAAAAGGATGATTATATGCTAAAGTCTTGGTTTCTTTGAACACTTCGTCGCGGTGAGCGATCAGTCCGTCAACCGTCGCGTTTTGACGATTTTATCCAACCAGAGTATTTAAATGGGAATGGTTTTCTTGAATCCGCTTAGCTGAGCAGGACGGCGTCATGCCGCTGATTTGTCGCGAAGAGTCGGTTGATATCTGTTGAGTTTGATATCAGCGGAATCGTCGGCGTGTGCGGAGACTATATTGTTATTAATTTTAAAACAATAAGTGACAAATTCACACATACAGATGACATCATGACTTTATTTTTAGGTTTCTTGGAAATTATGTCCTTTATAAAACTCAACACGAATTCAAAAAGATCTATAGAAAGTCTAAAATACTCCCTAAATTTGGTTTTATTTCCAAAAAGCCTCCGCTGCACAGTGATATTTAAGGCACCTTCTGTATCGCGACACAAAAACAACTCATCTACTGGCTTATTGGAAACTTTGACGGTTGCAATTGCCAGTTCCTCTTTTTCTTCTTCTTCCAACAATAATAACAACGCAAACAATTTATTTGCATCCATTTTAGTACCTTTCGTTTACATTCATAATACATAAACAGCACGTACAGACATGGAGAAAGTATCATTTTCTATATTTTTTAACAAACCACCTCGGGCGAAAATTGCTGTCCTCAGCGGTCGACGGACTGTCCGCTCACCGCGACGAAGTGTTCAAAGAAACCAAGGCTTAAATGCCCACAGAGTCCTTAACAGACCAAGAGTCAGCATTAACACCCACAAAACTAACCTCTGAAAGGTTCTGACTTTCACTTCAATGGAGAAAAGTCAAACTTGGCCATCTCCATGTACGAAGGATCAAACACTAAACTTAAGAAGCTGGACATTTCATCATACTTTGGGAAGGCATGTATAAAGGTCCACTTCTAAGATATTAATCATCCAGAAAAGGAGAGTAACAGGGCAAAATCGGTCCAAAAAGATTCCAAAACAAACAAAAAAAGTCGGTAAGCTAAATTTTAAGAGCCAAAATAGCTTTGGTAAATCAGCCACGACAAAGCCGACCGCCCAAAGGAAAAACATCGCAAAGGGCACAGAAGTAAAGAAATCCCCCAAAGGACCATTTCAAAGTGGAGTTACGCCTCTCAAATGGTTACAAACCCCCGAGTTGGCTTCCTCAATGGAGGTAGAAGAATGTCAAAAGTATCTTCAACGATCCACAGCGGGACACAAATGTTCTGAAGGTGAACGTCTACCATGATAAAGCAGCATCTGTCATAGTGTGCAAAACGGTCGACTCGGAAGGTTTAGACATAACCCTCCTGCAGAAATATTTTAGATCTTCAAAGTTTTCAAATTTAAATATTTGATATTCTTGCCCATTTTTCAGCTATACATTATTTGATGAGGTGGTGTAACAAAAACAAAACTTTAAAACTACTTAACCCTATAGGTATATAGTCAAAACTCGCGATCA